TCTGTAATTCATGCTACAAGTTTTAGCAAGTGTTATTTAAAGGGGTATAAAACTAATGCAGTCCTCCCTGTGCTGGACCTTACTGTACTACAAATAACACATCTTACAATCACTAGGAAGCACAATATCAAATTAGCATGGTAAAATGATGCATAAGCATCACTAATTTAGCTATCTTTTATTTAAAAAGTAAGGTATCTACAAACTTGTACATATACCACAAGCCCAGCAACCTCTTTTGGCTTTAAAGAAATCAGAAAACAGTTCTGGCCCTGCTAAAGACAACTGCAAATTGCCAATCAGCTTTGAATAGCCATGAATACGTACGTCATCATTTCACTTAAACATCATCTCAGCTCTGCTTTCTCTACCTTGAACCTGTGCTTGAGCTACACCTCCTATACAGGACATTATTTTTTTCCTGGTACATATATATCTCACATATCTGTTTTGTTGCTGCCACACTGAGACCTTTTCCAGAATACCATGATAGAGCTATCATGAGAAGCATGGCAGCAGGGGCTCCTGAATGATGGGTGAAGGGGAAATGTGCCTTGGTATTTACAAAGAAGGAAACTGAATAGCTGTCCTAAGTCAGTGAAGAAGATAGATGCAAGAAAGACAGATAATAGCACAGGAAATTCACTTGGAAAGGAAGTCCTTGTTATGGGGAAAAAAAGCCTTTGCTCTATCATCGTGTGGTTTGTTGAAGGATTGGCACAGGAGAAAAGAAACAGTATGTTGACTTGACAGGACAACTTTAATATATGTGTCAGTTTTGATTTTGTACATCATGACTTATGCAGCATCATAGGATACAAATACCCAAAGAAATCATATGCAGGTATCTCTGTTTTCAGCCCACTAAATGCTGATTACTTCTTTGAAGTCAATACACGTAGCATTTTCACAAATAAGAACATATTTTTGTTCTCACAACCTTAACTATACAGAACTATTGGATTCTGAATCTGCATGTAGTTCTGTTAGCTACATTAATTTTACATCCTGGCCTTATTTGATACATTCAACTTAAACACTGTTTGATGTAGAATTTACATGCTTACTTTTAGCTTATGTAAATTAATTCAGCTTCTGGAGAGAAGCATAAAACATGCTTACAATTAGCTTAGGCAACCAACTTGAGATTCCTCTAGAGAAAGCAATACTTGACCACTTTAAAATTGGTAGAGCCAGCTTTATCTTCCCATTTCCCAGCTGCATTTTAAGTACAGAAGATTGTAGCCAATACCTCATGTTATCAGTTAAATTCACTCTACTTGGACTTGGAATTAGAAGGATCAATTAGAAGAGCCCTGAAGTCAGGCAATATTTTGTCAGACACCAGAATCAGGAGAGTAGCAGGAAGCCTGTTCTTTCCCATAGGATCTCTTCTAAGCATATATGAAAATGCAATACCAGATAACCAGTTCTAACTAATCCCCTCCAAAAATCAACCAACACAATCTAGTCAAACAAAAAAAAATTTGCTTACCTGACCCAAGGAACACAGCCCCTTGAACACTCCAAAAGGAGGGATCTAGAAACAAAGACCCTTCCTTTGTGGCAGCCAGCCCTTAAATGAGGCTTAGGGAGGAGTGGAACCTGGTTCTATCCCTTCTGGTTGCACAGGTGAATTGCTTTCACCTGTGATCCCAGGGATGGCTCTGCCTCTTCACCAGGTGCTCAGTGATTGGTTCAGGCCATGACTTAGTAATTCCCAAACAGAAGACAAATGGCCAGAACTAAGGACTGAGCTTTAGGAGATTCTGTGTGAGTTTTCTCTGAAATGACATTGTTCTGGTTTGCTAGTTGCTGTGATGCTAATTGTAGCTTAAAGATTCTTATTCTATTAAAACAATAGTTTCATTAGTACACAGTATTACATGTATAATCCCAAGCTACTATAGAAAACACGACAAATCTTACTGTTCTTAGTTTTAACAGTGTTACTGTAGTTGCTTGAAACTTCCTAAAGTTCTTGATAGAATCTGTAGCGTACAGCGTTCAATCCTCAGTTTTAGTCCTTTTCTGTACTGTTGCTGTGTAATGCACATCTTAACAAGTAAATACATTTAGCTGTTTATTTTGTTTTATTTTTCCAAGTTCTAATGACTATCACTTAATCTTTTGGATCAGGTTTTTCATAGCAGGTTCCTGTTCAGGAGAGTTTATTTTTTTTAGTTAAGATTTTAACACGAGCTCTTTGACCATATTCAAGTAAAAAAGAAAAAAGCAAGAGAATGAGTATTTGTATTGGCGTGTAAGAGCAAAGAAATGGTCAAGGTATGAACTGCCTTATGTATCATAATGCACAAAACAGTTTGAGCCCCATGTTTTCTGATTCTTGGTATTGAAGACAACTTGAAGGCCGGCTGATTTCTGGTTTTCTGTGTGGTCCCTTGTAAAAGGTGGAAAGTTAAGAAGTTAAAAGGCCATTTCATCTTTCAGATGGCAAATTTCCATTTCTCAGCAGCAATCTGCTTCAGAAGCAGCTGCCATCCCAAATATTTGGCTACGTAATCAAGCCTAAAAAATTAGATTGCATAAAGTCCCATTAGCCTTCTGTTCCATCAGCAGAAATTAAATCTGAAACTTTATTTTGGAGTTCTATTACTGCTAAAAAGAAGGATCTATTTCTGAGAAATGTATTTTCATACCACTGGTCATTTTAATGATGTACAATCCTTCATGTTTTCTGGAGTGAAATTTTGCATAACACATAGGGAGATATAGGTGAGACTGAGCATGAGTGCATTTTTGGACATTAACAATATTGAATCTCAAATACTTTTGGGGAGATAATTTCTATTTCCCGTGAATGTGTAGCTTAGAAATGTAATGAAGAATGGGCACTATGAAGCACCCAGAGGAGTTATGGGCCTTAAACTAATGAACTGCGCTTCAGCATTTTACTTCTAGCATATGCTCTTATTCACAGGTGAATGGGCACTTGACCTCATTAGCATCAGGCCAGTATTCTCAGATATGTTTCCTAGGGTTGTTATGGTCTGAGTTTTTCAAAGTCACAGAATATTCTGCACTGTTTGACTTGTCATTATACACACACATACACACACACTGTTTATCTGGTACTTTGTGTTTCAGAACATGTACTGAGCTGCGGTCAGGTTTCAGTAGTCAGGAAGTCCTAATGTTTCTGTGCAGATGGTTTGATCAACAAAGGCTAATACTTGAATCACTATTTATTCCCTGTTTCATAAGTTTCTGTCGTCTTGATCAGTAAAGCACATAATCCAAGTACCAGAGGTATATTTGGGCTGTCCTGCTCTAATTGCTCTCCAACTGAAACACTTCCAAATGGAGTATGGATATACTCAAAATTCCTTGCTAACTGTGAGCCTGTCTAGCTTGCACAATCCACAAAACACTAATGTCTTCTATGACAATTATTCCACAACATGGTAAATATCTGAGCAGCGTCTGCCCACTGCATACTGCCTGCCCACCCAGGTAGACAGCTGTCTACATGCACTGCATTCTTGAACCCAAAGAATTGGCAACTGCAGGGGACTATCTCAGGGCAGGAAGGTTGCTTGGTCAAAGGTACATTCGTGAGCACAGATTTTACTGGTTTCAACCTAGGAGAATATTCCAAAGGACTTGTGTTGCCACACACACTATTTTCATCCAGCCATATGTTTACCTGGGAAATATCCCTCCTTGATGCTTTTTATGGAGGCCTAGCCTGTCCTCTAGTGGTTGGGTCATTAATCATTATGCACACATGAAAGGACTTTACAGAGGCGGCTTGCAGGAACACTAAATAGTTGCAGCATCTGTTAGCTTGCTGTTGCCATGCACAAAACTGCTGGTACTGGTATGCGTTATGCTGTTTGTGTCAGTGAAACATTATCCATGAGAAAAGATAAAAAGGCCTTTAGCTAGGAGTGATTGCTGGGCTCTTTCAAAGACCTGATGTCATTTAAGAGAACTAGCATCTACTGCAGCTTAAGCTGGGCTGAGGAGGAAAAGAGCAGTAAGGGCTGCCCTGCATGATTGTTCTGGAAGGAAAACCGTAATTATGTGGAATAATGTGATGAATATTTTATAATGGAAGTACAAAACTAGTGAGCTTTATTGATTCACCTGTAATGAATGTATCAATTTTCCACCAGTAGATTGATTGCTCAGATGCAAGAATTTCTCATATTTTCCCCAGGGACTATCGCAAAGTAAGAGCTGCAGCTTTGATCTCAGAAACTGGCAGCCTCCTCTATTCCTCTGGCATGCATTCACCTTAATTATTTTAAGACAAAATTGGCTTTTGTGGTATTCTCTGTGCTCTGCCAATTTCTTAGCCATGTCCTTTCAGCATAAGAGATTTCTAGGTATGTTTCCATAGATTTTTTTCATCATTTTGTTCAGTTTGCAGACAGTCACATTTATCCCTGTTAAAGTGCTGAAGGAGCTGTGGCAGAAATGAGATTATTAAAGGCACATGTGAAATGTAAAGTATTGCATGTACGCAAGAAAATGACACTTGGTTCAGCAGAACAGAGGGCAGAGAAAATAGCCCATGGAGAACTGTGGAAATCACTAATATCAGTATCTGAATTAATCATTTGTGTCCCCACTGTACAACAGAGAGGAGTTAGCCTGCAGGAAGGCACTGTTTGAGTGTTACTTTCTTGTCATCTGCATGTAACTCAAAACATCCTGCTGAGATTCATGTGGCTTCCTATCCTTCTCCCACACTGCTCAAGGCAGGTTGTGTTGACTGTAAGCTCAAGCTTATGGTTATACACAAATTACACGGGAAGATACAATCTATATTATGAAATATTTTGCAGAAAATATTTCACATAGAGCTTTTCAAAACCTGGCAGCCAGGGAGACCTGCAGCTCTGCATTCCTTCCTCTGCTGATCATTCTTTAAGTTACATGTGAACTTCACCATCCTCAAAACACCTCCGTCTTGGAGGCCACAGGAACACAACGGAAGGGAGTGGATGGCTTTCACTGTACACTACACTCACCTTTCTCTTGCCGTGTGCCACATTTCTTCTAGCTGTTAAATCCTATTTGGATCGTGTTCACCCTGATCCTTTTTCACCTGCAATAAACCAGAGCCTTTATTTTCATGGCAAATGACTGGATGAGCACCACAAGCTGGAAGAAGGCTTCCAGAGAAAAAAAAAAACCCTGAAGCGTGGATCGCACCTTCTTTCCAGCTGGTGTGGGTTTACCACCGGGGAGAAGTCTGGAGAGCAGCTGAAATATGCCCGAGCTGCTTATTTTAACTAAAAGCCATATATTTTCCCACTAACCCTGTCAAGGACACCTCTGGTGAGGCAAAGGCGGGTTGCCGGTAAATCGGGCTCAAGCGTGCCTACCGGGGCGCTCATAGAGGCTCCTCCGTTCACGCCTGGCTTTCCCCTCCGGCCCCGGCCCGAGGGTCCCGCCGGGGGCCGCTGCCCGGCCCGCTACCGCTACCTGCCGCGCTGAGGCGGCGGGCCCTGGGCGAGCCCATCGCGCGGAGGGAGGGAGGGAGCTTGGGAGCGGCGGAGGACGGACCGAGCGACCGGCGGGCGGCAGGGAGGGGGGAGCCGCCGCCGCCGCCGCCAGCCGGGTGTGTGGCGACCTGATCCCTGTCCAACATGGTCGCCGCTCACACCTCCCATTCCGCGTCCTCCGGCGAGTGGATCGCGTGCCTGGATAAAAGGTATCGGGCGCGTTCACGGGAGCGGCTGCAGGGGGATGCTGCGTGCGTGCATCCTGCCCCTGCGTGCATGTATGTATGTACGTATGTGTGTGCGCGATGGTCCTCCCTGCTCCCCATCAGGAGCTGCCTTACATAAGGAACGGGCAGGTGGGAAGCAAAATGCCCGGAGGAAGCCGAGCCGGGTAGGGGGGGAAAGGCAGAACGAAGGGCTCGGAACGCTCCCGGCAGCGGAGGGGATGGGCGGCCCCCGGGGGAGCCGCTCCGCGCCAATGCCCGGAAAATGGTGCACGTGGCGGAGGAGAGGGAACGCCAGGGCGGGGAAGGGGCGCCGGGGACTGGGGCTGCCGGGCGGAGATGTGCCGTGCCCGCCATGGCGGGCCCGCCGTGCTCACGGCTCCGCGCAGCGCCTCACCTCGCAGCCCCGCGCTGCCCCTCGCATCGCGCACAGCTCCGCGCCTCCCCTCAGCGCGATGCCTGTCCCAAGCGCCTCACGATCGGGCGGGAAGAGCTGGGCACCCCGCGGCGCAGGGCTGCTGGAGGGAGGAGGATGTGAGGGGGACGCGTCTGCCCCGAAGGCTCCTGCAGGGGCAGCCGCCTCTGGTAGAGAGGCCAGTGGCCGTCCCACACGGCTGAGCCAGCTCCAGGCTGACAGCCACCACCATCACCAGGTGCATGCAGTTTAAAAATACTGGTAAATAATTTTATTTTTAAGAGAAATCCTTGCTTTCCCTAAGTGCAGGGAAAGAAAGCGACTCCCACAGCACACAGGCATACAGTGGGTGGCTTGAACACCCCATGCTGTATTGTTATCATTAACACTCACTGGGTGAGTTCAGAATGAAGCCATCGCATTTCCAGACACTCACCACATAGCCTAGCGAAAAATATAAGAGAAACGCAGGCCACAGCCACACAGTGCAACTCAGAGCTCCGGAGTTGGCTGGGTGCCAAGGCAACCAACCTCTGGCACCAGGTGTAAACAGCCCCTATGTGCACAGAAAGAAACATCCTTGCATCAGTTCTGCTTTTCCAGGTGACTTCCTGGTGTTCTCAGGACTGCACCACCACAAGTGTTCTCCTTACTCCCAGCAGCAGGCTGTGAGGGGCTGAAACTTGCTGCTACTGAAACACTCTCCAGTCAGCCTCCCCAGCCCCCACCTTCGATGCATAACTTAAAAATAGCCACAAACCTCTTAGAGCTTAAGCAATGCACGTAAGTGTTGAAAGCACTCCAGATGTCAATACAAACAGAAGCAGTAATGGCAACCTAGCCACAAATAAACAGTGAAGTGGAGGGCCTGATTCTTCACTCTAAACTGACACTGCTCAGGTGTGAAGATGCAGAGTGTAAGCACCAGCACTTCAGTGGTACTGTCGCATTTCTCAGGATACTCAAATGCAACACGTGGTAACTCAAGTTGTGAAATGAAATTCAGGGGCTCATGCTTAATGAAAAGTGTAGCATTAGGTTGGGAGTATTATTTCTAGGAAGTATAAATGAGGGTTTCATTAAGGAATCTGCCAATTTGATGTTGAAAGTCTTTTTCGACTTACACGATTCTGTGATTCTCTATATATGTATATGTAAAATGTTATACTGACTTGTTATAATGGTAACCTCATTGGAGCTGTTAAGATGAAACTTTTTCTTCCCTTTCTGCGAGTTGGTATGATCTGGTAGCACCTGACAAGTGGAAAGAATCAAATCCAATTGTCCTGAAGGATTATTATGGTCCATCTTTCCAGAAGGCAACCTGGATGCAGGAGAAACCCATGGTGGGAGAGACTGCAGGATTCTTCCTAGACCCTGCTGTGCTTTGTTTTGTATTCATAAGTTACATATGCGTACTTTCTTCTGTTTTTCCATTAAAAAAATACTGTTAAAATTACATTGGAGAAGTACTGTAGGCATCTAAGCACTATTAGATAAAGCATTTTAAATTAATTCACATCTGTATTTTTTTCCTATAGATGATCAACTTACTCATTTGAGTTATGCAATTTCTACCTGTTTAAGAAATCTTGAAGCTTCTCTAAGCTAGGAGTGGATTCTGCAAATACAAGATCATTTAATGAGTCAATTATCTGCAGGAAACCACGTGTTTTTATTTAATATTTAGGGTCCTTTTAATGTGTTTCAGTTAATGAATTTATACAAATGTGTTTCAAAAACTGAGGTACTTTAATTTTATGAGAGCCTCAGCAAATACATGTATCTGTATGTCATGTAATGTGGATTATCCAACTTCATTCTTTAAAAAAGGAGAATTCAGCTATAAATGGAAATAGCAAAAAGCACAATGAATGGTTATGATGCAGTAAGTTTTTCATGTACAGTACTGATGTATTTTGTATACATTCTTCATGTTTTTCCAAAGTCACATACTGAACTTGACCTACTATCATCTCAAATGAGAGCACATGCATAACAAATCAAGAACTTTCAAAACATTTCAGGCAGAATGTTATTACTGTCTAGAGTACTGTATATAGGCTAGGAACTCTGGTGCTTCAACCATGCAGCTTCCGTATGGGATTACTGACATCAAAGCCAAAGATCAGCACCTAAACATCAAGTACACTGCACAGGATGAAGTCACAAGTGCAGACATAAGGAAATACCAGAAGGTCAGAAAACAGTGCACTGTCTGTATTTGCAGGACAAAGAGATGATTTGCAGTGAGGAACCATGCATCTTGCTTGTTCCTGGAGATGTAACTAATATTTATTTTCAGGAAACCAGTCTTTGTATCCTTGAAGTAAGGAGTTGCCTTGTCACTGATTTCCTAGGTAGCAGAAGCACACCTACTGTCTTCAAATTGTTCTGTGTCCAAACCGTGCACACAAAAGGTGGTTGCTGATTTATGCAAGTGCTTATATTTAGCTTGGGAACAATGCCTAACCTACTCTCATGGTTTCTTTCACACTAAGGATTGCCTAACCAGAACATTTCAATGTCAGCATATAATTACTGTATGTTAAATAAAGTGTTTGTTACGTAGCTCTTATTTCTCTAAGCCTGATTAGAGTTTTGAATTCAAACAAGGGTTTTAATTTGATTCAGATACAAACTTTTTAAACAATGCACAGCATTCAAGTCAGATTCCAGGATCTCATAGCTACCTACAGCATCCTGTTTTTATCTTATTAAATACAACCTTCAGTGCCTTAGCAGACTGGAGGAGCAGATCACAGAGCAAAGCATGCAGCTGTTGTGCTATGAATGTTATGATCTTTACTCAGTTGCTTATAAATTATTTAAATATGAATAGGTGTTTCAAAGACATGTTATACCCACTGAGCTTTTGTGACTAAGGTAGATCTCAGGCTTATGTGGATTTACTTTTAACAAAACCACAATACATACAGGATAACAGCTGAGATTTGTACCTTAAGCCAAGCTCCTATAGGTTTGAAGGTAGGTTCAGACTGAAACTATGTAACAGGAACAGATTTGAATTCGAGTTCGTCTCATAGCTCATCATAACATATCTTTGAGTTGTAAGTTACACACTTAACAGTCAGTATTTTCTTCTACATGTGCAGATGGACCAAAATAAAGAACTAATATTCTGAAAGAATTGTGAAAATATAAGGACAATTATTTTGTCCACAACTTGTAATTATCTCAGAGATAACAGGATATAGACTTACAATCAGGCAATACAGTGAATACAGTGAATATTTTAGACTTACAGACAAAGTTTTAACTTACTCTTAAAATATATTTTTTAAAGACTGATAAAAATACACTGTTTGTATACGCTTTAAGTTGTATACATTTCAATGTACACATTTAAATGTATGAGTTTTTAATTTAAATAATGAGCCCATAGAAACACCACCACAATTTTTCTTAGTTTGGGACAAAATCACAGGCATACACTGCAGCTCCTGTTGACTTACGCACTGTGCGTTTTCTGTGTATGTGCCACATGACTGAGCAGGTGCATACTTAGCTCATGCCTACCTTCCACTGTATCTACAGAAATCATCAAGATGTAGAAACCAAGAAAAAGAACAATCTAGGTGTAGCCTAAGTGCTTGCTAGCACTCATGTAGAGGTGCAAACTTCTGAGAGTGATGAACAACAAGTTCATATTTCCACCTCACACAACTCATTTTCTAGTCCAGTACAAAGGTGCCTTTGATGAATAAAAGTGCTTTTTCTTTCTGTATCTCCTCAGAGAGACTAAAGTAATTGTTAACAGTCTGCCATAAACCTGTTGCTCTCTCCATTTTCTTGAATATGCGATGTCAAAATAGCTCATAATAAAAGCAGAAGTTATATTCTGAACAAATTCTAGCTGTTTCATTCCCTTCCATCAGAGGTTTAGTACCTGTAGTACCAGCTTCTATTACTTACATTTGGTTGTATTAAGTTACTTACTTGTAATATGCATATATGTTGTGACACAGAAGAAACAATAACCCTAATATTAATGAACATTATCATGGCTCACTAGAACAGACTAGTACATACATAGATCCACTGAAACATGATATCTACAGCTTGAATTGGTAGCCTTTTGGAGCAGTGTAGCAATTGGATTAGTACAATAAGACAGACATTACAACAAAGGTGTGCTTACAAGAGGACTAGTAAAATAGAAAAATGAAATAAAGGAAAGGGAAAAGATTGCTCACCCATATCAGAAGATTCAAGGCTCACAGGGAAAAGCTTCACCAAGGAAAGATCCCCAGAAAGAAATCCTTACCCCAGTAGCAGTCAGCTGAAGGTCTAAGAGAGGTGCAGCCAGGCGCCACTTCTGGTCACACACCTGAATTGCCTTCACCTGTGCTCCTAGAGGTGACCTGGTCCTTTCTCCAGGTGTTCAATCAGTGCTTCAGGCTGTGACTCAGCAGTCCCTACACGTATGTGGCAACATGATTGGTGCACTATTCTTGCAACTGCAGATGTTGTCTACTACAAATCAAAACCAGAAAGCTATATAAACTGCTTTCACTAGAATTATTTCTGTTAGGATTTTCTCTCTAAAACCTTAATTTTGAACAGAATACTGTATAGCATTAATTGTATTACACGCTATTTGTTTGTTTTCATTGAAAGTTGCTTTGTTTTTTGTTGGTAAAAAGAAGATAGTTGTTAATGGAAAAATATTCATAAATGGACTAGTCTTGATGTTTTTACATATTCTGTAAATAAGTATTTTACAAGCTATACAATCAATGAATATAAAGATGTTATACTTACGAAATAAGCCAGAGAGTTTAGCTAAACAGATTATCATAACAAAAAGAGAATAGATAGGATGCTTACCCATGTCCTGGGCTTACTGCAAAACTCCAGAGGAGATATCTCCAGGAGAGATCCTTTCCTACTTGTAGTCAGCTCTTAAATGGGGTCTAGGAAAGGTGCAGCCAGGCTCCACCCCTTCCTGCAGCACAGGTGAATTGCCTTCACCTGTGCTCCCAGGGCTGACTCATTGCTCGCCTCAGGTGATTAATCAGAGGATCAGGCCGTGATTCAGCAGTTCCCATACACAGGCTAAGTGTCTTTTATAACAAAAGCTCGTATTCCAGAAGAGGAATAAAGCATCAACAAATGTGAGCGTTGAAACTGTGTTCTCTGAGTCAGGCAACCACTAGATATTTATCAAATTTTAGTGTATGGGAACTGTTGAGTCACGGCCTGACTCGCTGATTGAGCACCTGGGGAAAGGGCCTGGTCAGCTCTGGGAGCACAGGTGAAGGCAATTCAGCTGTGTGACTAGAAGGGGTGGAGCCTGGCTGCATCTCTCTTAGACCTTAGGCATTTAAGGGCTGACTGCTACTGAGGAAAGGGTTTCTTCCTGGGGGTTTCTCTTTGATGAAGCTTTTCCCTGTGAGCCTCAAATCTTCTGATATGGGTGAGCAGTCTTTTTCCTTTAATGTTATTTCTCTATTGTGCTAGTCCTTTTGTCATCACTCCTTTGCTGTATTGTACTTTTCCTAGTGTATTGATCTGTTTAATTGCTGTAATTAGTATTTCTTTTATTCAGTATGGTTCTGTTTTTATCTGTGTTTTATGTTTTTCTATGTTGTCATGGTATTGTTCTCTGTTAGTATTTTCTATGCTGTATTTGAGTGTGCCTTTTACTGCTCCTACAGCTTTATCCTGTTCTCAGTGAATATTTCCTGAATTGACTTTCCACTTCATGTTTGAATTAAGCAGCTTTCAAAATGTATGCCGGTCAATTTAAGCATGTTGATGTTATTTCTTAGTAGTTGAATATCTGTTTTCTTTAATAATACAGGCTGAAATGAACAAAAGTGCATTTAGTGTAGTGTATTTTCTGAATGCACATTTTAAATGAAAGTATATTGTTACTTGTGTGTGTTGTTCAATTCTGAACTATGTTTCCATTGTATCTCAGAGTTTGTCTTCATCTTAAAGTACTTTTACTGGCTATTATGAAGTTGGAGTGCTGGTTAATGTAATTTCATCCATCTCTCCTCCTGTGAAATGGTAGGCTACTAGTGCTGGGCTATGAAAGCTGAAGTCTTAATTCCATCAAAGTTAGTTATACCTTAGTTGTAGAGAATGCATCATATGTAGCAAACACTTCTTAAGAAATGGAAGGTGAAAACTTGTTGCAGTTTCTTTTTCCCTTGAAGTATTTTGTCTTTTCTAACAAGGGTGCAAAGGTGGAAAAAAAATCACTATTCTTGATTCCTATTATCAGTGTATTGTTCAAACAATTCATTTTTAACTTTAAATCTTCCTGAATATGATTGCTTTATAAATACATTGTTTGCCATTGTACTGCTTATCCAGTTTTAAAAGCTGATTTGTTGGGAAGATGCGTAATTTGTAGAGCAGAAAAGAAATAAAGCATAGTTGATTGCTTTCTAATAGTTATTCAGTGCTTTGGCCAAACAGAATTGAAGGTGTAAGTATGATTAAATGAGTGATACAATACTATGAAATGAGTGTGTAGGTGAAGGGGAAACTCCTGTATTTGCACTGCCTGTCATGAGGAAGACAGAAGAAATTCAGTCTGACAGAAGCTGATAGACAGTCAGTCTGCATTTAATGGAGTAGTCAATCAGTGCCCACATAGGTCAGGATTATCTGTGGTATTTCTTGGACTCTGCATAGCAGAACATCAGAGATTTATTCTAATTTGTTGGAAACCAAGTTTTGCTTGTGTTGTTTTGTTAGCTTAGATTTTATCTTTGGAAGGACCTGTATACATAAGAATCCTAGGAAAAAGGATTTAACTAAGTTCTGACTATCTGTGTTATAGAGGAAATACAAAAAAAAAAAACCAACCAGGAATCCTGAAGTCACACAAAATGGCAAGCAAAGGAAATGAACTGTCACTTGGTTTTCTGAATGCCTCATTATGAGAGAACAACAGAATGTTGAAGTGAATATTGAACATGGATTTGGTAGTATTACCATCATGTGTGTTAAGTGCCTCTTGAGAAGTTAATTGACTTCTTCCCCATGGAAGTAAGCTCTTGTGTGGACATGGCTTCATGTTAAAAGGCTTTGTTTATAGTTAAGACCTCAGTCTTACCAGAAGTCTAAAGTATTTTGATAGTTTGCTGATATCCCTCTCTTCTTTCTCAATGAGAATTTAACTCATAAAGCCCTGCAGCACTGCACAAAGGATAGGGGTGCTGTAGTGTTGAGAAGTAATTAATTGACACTACAGGATTTTATTATTGCTGTTCTGTTCCCAGGTAAAACATTGTTCATTAAAAACTATCCTGTTGAAATAAGTCTCATTGTTACAGATTACAAGCTCTTAAAAGGAATGAGTTTGAATATTACTATTGCAATGCAATCTGAAGTTTTTACACCTGCAAAATTCCATGTTCTAATAAAGACTAAGGGCTATCTCAACTTAGGACATGTAGTGTAAGGTAATTCCTTACTCCTAAGTGCTGAGGATTTCTTCAAGGAGAACTCTGATAGTATTCAAAGTGACCATTTAATGAAGGGTGTGCAGACATACTCTGGACAGAAAGAGGAATCCAGCATAGCTGCAATCCAAGTGGAAGTAACATCTGGGCAAGGCACTGTGGTTAAACTGCTTGCTGAAGTTAGCCACTAGGAACATGTTACTTTATCTTTCTCAGTAAATATGGAATTTAGTCTCTCACTGCTGTGCTGGTGTTGAAAATTCTGTGAATCATGGCTTAGCCACATGTGAGAATGCTCATCCTCATGTTACTAGAGCCAAGAAGCAGTTTTGTCAAAAGAGCAAGCTTTTCCTATGCTTGCTCTGCTTAAGATGGGACATTCCGCATCCAGGGAAGTGAGCCCTACTGTCATCTTATTCTGAACTAGATGGAAACCCTGTCCCTTCAGCAACTCTCAGAATAAAAAAGCTATGTGTTCTGTGGCGTATGATAAACCCCCCAGTCTTGTTCTTCTGGCAGTCCTGGAAGTAGAAGGGATTCCTGTACTCATATTTCAGGAAGAACATGGGATGATGTTGATTAAATTGATAAAACCTGATGTGTCTATTTTGGTAATTCTGTTTGACTTTTCCCCCCATCCAATGGCATCAAGCAATTAAGGAATGCTAAATGCTAAGACCCTATGCTCAATTCTATGCGAACAAACTGGTGAACTTGTTCAATCTTCTAAGAGCAGTTGTATGAGTGAAACAGCCTCAAGGGGTTTTCTAGGAAAAGAGGATATATGGAGAATGATTTCCTTTTTTCCTTTCTGGGTTTTGCTATTCATTTTGAGAGTCCAAAAAGGATTATGGTGTTCCAGGTGCTACTGTAGTTTGGATAGGGATCTTGTAAAAATGGATTTTTATTCTAATTGCTGGCTGCATGTTCTTATTTTCTTAAAAGAGTTTTGACAAGAGAATTATGTTTATTAGTACCTGCCAGCTAAAAAAGATAAAGGTGAGAATCTTCCTGGAGAGATTTCAAAAAGGAGCTGCTGTAGTTTGAAGTGGTAAGAGGATATAGCTGTGCTGTAGAAGCAACTGTATACACCAGAGAGTTATTCAGATCTGTAGTTAATAAGGGTAAGTTGGAGTATAAATGAAGATAGGCATTTAATCCATGCTAGACTAAATTTAATAAGAGAGGTAAGAGACAGAGACTTAATGTGAAGAGGATCTGGGATTCTTTCGTGAGACAAAGATTTGGATTCCTAAAGTCATTCCAAAAAGAAGTCACTAAATTCCTGCTGGAATGAGTGCTTGGACTGAATTTGAATCCTAAAGATTTTATTTTTTATTTTACCCAGACAGAAAGCATGCATTTTTGGAACTGGTTCTGGAGACTTCTTGTGTTTGTACATCTATGCATCTGTTCCCTTAGATTTTACTCTCTCTTTATATAATATATAGTATATATATTTTACTATATATAATTCTAAGCTCATCAGGATGTAGACTGTACCATCATATGGACTTTCATAGATAGTGCTACAGCATGATTTTGTGCTCAATGGGACTTCTATGTTCCAAGATGTCTTGGAAGGACTTCGTTATGTACCTGTAAAATGATTTTAGTTGATTTATATTATGGTGTGACTTTTAATGTCAATATTTGTGAATTTAGTACGTGCAGATAGGTATGTTCCTCTGATAAAGCCATTAAAACTGTTTCCTTTTGTTGTCCTGCAGACCTTTGGAACGTTCCAGTGAAGATGTAGATATAATATTCACACGACTGAAAGAAGTGAAAGCCTTTGAGAAATTTCATCCAAACCTTCTCCAGCAGATATGTCTGTGTGGATATTATGAAAATCTGGAAAAGGGGATCACATGTAAGAAAGCTTCATGTAATGATTTATTTTAAGTAGGTAAAGTTGATGTTTAGGTAAGAATTGTTTCTAGGAGATTGTTGAGAGAGCACAATCAGTAGAATGGCTGTAAAAATGTTTACAGTCTTAGTGATGGAAGAAGGCAGGAGTAAGTGCTGCTTGCTAAACAAATACAATATGTGAATCTATGGTAACAAGACATGCATTATTGGGTTTAGGACTCTGCCACCATTTTGTTGAAAGATTAGAAGCAGTTGTTGCACTTAAGCCTCCTTCTTCCCCTGTAAATGTATCATTGATCTCCTTAGTGTAGGTACTCTGTGGTGTCAGGAACACTTACATCACTGAGGCATATCACTAGTTCCATGTGCTTTCCAATCACAACATGTTTGCAGAACTACATAGTGCTGTAGGGTGCAACAGCTCTGTGCTTGCTTGGGTGATCAAAGTGCCAGGTAAAGCTGGACAGTTGTGCTCAGTATGTGAAGCTGAAGTGGAAGTGACTACCCTGTCATAGAAATGTAAGAATTGCCAGTGTTACGCTAGGGGTGTAGCTAGTAGAGAACTTCTGTAAGTGATGTTTGGTAAATTCTCTGAGACCCCCTCAGATAAATCTGATGTTCTTTAGGTACACAGCACTGAGGTTTGCGTAGAGTAATAGGAATTCTGATGCTCTGTAACCACACTGATGGAATATCTGAGTATCAAAGTCTTGCAGTTGTTTCTCAGCCAGAACTCTTATTGAAGGCAGTTCAATGCAGGTAGCATTTGAAGATTCTAAATTTCAAGGGTACATTTTTCAGAAAATCTTTGTTCATTTGTTAACTAAGTAACAGTAAAAAAAAAAAAGCAAACTGGAAAGAATAAAGTTCTGTGTGATTTCACTGGTTCAGTAGTCTCTTGATCAGTTAACTAAAATGTGTGCTTTCTAGTGTCACTGGAAATAAAATTGGACAAGTAAATAGTCTGATATGGCAAATATTTTACTGGCAGCAGTGACTATAGCAGTACAGTAATATGAGGGAAAATATTTGACAATGTTGCTGTGCATAAGGGGATACCTCTTATTTACATTATTTCTTCTTTCCAGTATTCCGTCAAGGTGATATTGGGTCAAACTGGTATGCTGTTCTGACAGGATCACTGGATGTGAAGGTTTCTGATACAAGCAACCACCAGGTAAAACATTGTTCCTTAAAACCATCCAATTGATAGTACAACAAAAGCTTAGGAGTTATATCAAGGTAGATAACAATGGGATGTATTGTACAGATATTTTTTTCTCAGTGATCCTTTTCTCTATGGAGGCAAATCATGCCATTGATTTCAAGAAAGCTGAAATGGAATACTCTGAAAAGGAATCTGCATGTGAATATGAAACAGGAGTCCTAGTATTTTTCTCACAGTGCTATAATCAGTTAAACTAAAGATGTGTGAGTTGTTAATTGATTCCCAAGAAGCATAATTGAGTTCTGGTTTGAAGTTAAAAACAAACCCACCAACAGTGCGGTCTGATAACAGCATACTGCAGTCTCTCCTGAAGGAAGGGAAAGATGTGATAGTAATAATGGAGTATCAGAACTGTTATGTTAAACCTGGAGGAAATATATATTCAGTGTAAAGAAATACAAGAAAAAGTAAAATACCAGCAATTTGCAAGTGATTACTCGATATCTTGATATTCCTGTTTTTACAGAACTTGGAGTTTTGAATAGTTACCAATAAAAGGATGAGAATAATTTAAAAAATCAATTACCCAAATTATAGTTATGTTATTATATCCCAGAATGTGTTGTGAGAAATTATAGTTAGGGTTTAGACCTATTTTGATTGAAGGGGGTTTGATCAATGTAGCTGTGGAATAAAGATTTATACACAAATGTGTGTGCACTTTCTTCCAAGTAGCTTGATGTGCCACATCACTTTTTAACTTTGGATAAAGCAGTAAAAATGTTTTCTCAAAAAAAAAAAAAAGAGCTGTATGAAGAATATCTGCGGTAACTCAGTGGTGACTGCTGTCCCCCTTTTGATTTTGTTCGTACTACTGGATCAGTCTGGCTTAGGAACTGGTGCTTCTCACAGCAGTGAAATATCTCCCCTCAATTGTTCAGGGAGATCTTGGATCGGTACTGGTGCCTATCTTAGAGTTGTCATAGGGTTCAGAGCTCAGGAGGGGCTTAGAAACCTTAGAAATGATCATTCCATCATATGACATGACTTAGTGTGCTTTCACGTTAGTGGTATAGCTTAGCTACCAGGTACATGAAGTGTAACACTACCTCCTCAAATATAGTGTGCACCTGTCTGTACATACGGTTGTAATTCTTTGCCTGAAGTTCAATTGACTGGGGAAGGCTTCTTTCTGATGGTGGACTGGTGGAAACTGGAGTTCCCACTTAGATAAGTGCAGCATTACTAGTGAATTTGGATTAGAATGCAAATCAGGGCACTGGGTGAATGCTGGGTTTTTCAACTTTGTGCAGTAAAATGATATAAAAAAGGAGTTTCTTTCATATCACCTTTTTTAGCAACATCTTCATTATACTACCTAGAGACTAGTAATTAGCCTAGTTTGACCAATTCTCCACATCACCTGGTTTTCATTGATTTTTGGACTTTGAGACACTTCTGTGCAAGTCAGAAGCAATAAGGAATATTTTCTGGTGTTTGCCAAGAGATGGCACTGCACCATTGTTAAGACACATACTCTTTACTGAATGAGAAATAAATGTGTCCCCATGAGCATTCTGAATGTGAAAGTTAAGAATCTGGAGTGTTGATTTGTTGTATTAGGTGGAGGATTGAGCAGTTCAGCCCCTTAAGAAATGTAAATATTTTTTTCTGCTCATTCAGGTTCACTGCATTTTCCTGCCAACAGGGAACTACAGAAATACAGTTCATGTAGTTCTAGTTATGGAAATTATATTGTGCAGTAATTTCTAAACTGTTCATTTCCTTCTCACAGGAACAATGAACTGAATTCTACCACTGTCTAGTTGCCATAGGATACAGCCTCACTGCTAAAGAAGCAGCTCATACATTTACCATTCTAATGCTGGAGAGGTTTTATGGGTGGGGACCCCTGAATAATATCTGAGCCCAATATTTTCTCTTGCTTTGCTCCCATTTTCTGTTTATGCCATGTCCTTCCTGTTCCTTGCTTTTCTGCTCCTTGTTCTGACTTCACCTCCAGTGTGCCCTGTTCTGGTGATACCTTAGCTCCCTTGCTGGAATAGTGCTAGTCCTTCTTGAGCTTGAAATACTTACTACCATTCCTTCCTACTGTGCTTATTGCAAGCCCAGATGATGGAGGAAATATGCTGCAGCTCCACAGACTAAGCACTGACAGATTGAGTTGCTAGCATTGTTCTTCTAGCTAGGAATGGATGACCAGTGCTCAAATGCCTGTAATCTGTCCTGGAGCACATTTTCTAACAGCAGCTTCAAGGAGCCAAAGCTACCTTGGCCAAGTTGTGTTTGTGATTAATTGCTCTGTGTTTTGCTCTTAAATAGCACTAATGCTGATGGAAAATAATTCCTAATATTTGAAGGGAATTCATTTATGACACTATTCCTCACTGTTCTTTTAACCTGTGCGCATACCTAGACAGGCTGTTACCACTATGAAGAGAAAGTGTTCTTGGGAAGCAGCTGCTTGTCATAAAGGCTGTTTGCTGCTTTGTGTATCCATGGAATCAGTGATTGGTGGTACTGTAAAACAAATTATTTCATCCTGTTTTTGGAATATACAGCAGAGCCAATAACCAACTCTCCCAGCAAATTTCATCTTCTGTTCCACACCTGTTGAAGAAGAGCTAAATCTAACCATTTGTCAGTACCAGAAATGATATCTCACCAGTTGTACATGGACAATGAACCATGTGTATTGATTCTGGAGCTCTGAATAGTCTCACTGGCAGAGTCTTGACCAAGGAATAGGAGGTTTCCACTTTGCTCACAGGTTCTCAATCATCTTGTGTTCAAAAGAACACCTTCCAAGTAGAGGTTTAAGGCTGCCTATTGGGACTGTTTTGTTCTAGTTCATACGTGCTGTTTTCTTGATAGAAAATAAATAGCTGTCCTCGCAGAAGCATTCTGGGAAAGAAAATAAAACTCAAATCTGCTTTACTTCCATGATTGTTTCATTAGTCTGGTTATGGTCTCTTAGCTGGCAACAATTAACCTAATTTCAACAGGAGCTTTTCATTTGTTATGCCTGTTTATCATACTGGCTTGTAGCTGTAGAAGTGACTGAGTGCCTCCTGGAAATCGTTAATTTCACATCCAGAACCAAGAAATGTTTGGCTCTTGTCCCTTCATAGTTGTGGTGGACAGTCTTTCTGAGATTCTGAGCTTTCTACTTTAGGGTTTATTGAGTCTTGAAAGTTCTCTCTAATCTGTGTACCTGTAGGATTTAGAAGCTTCATTCTGCTATTTCCCAGGACATGGAAATGTTGTTCTCCTGAGCCTAGAAATCCAAGCCCTATGCTTTTCCTGTGGTGTTTGTTTGTATTTAGCAATGCTCTGACAAGGTCTTATTTTTTATTTTTAAATATTTTCTTCAGTGGATATCTTGCTCATAACAAAATGTCCTTGTTCAAGGCTAGCCTTCATTCCCTATTTAGTGCATGTCTTGGTCTGTCTCTTAAACCTTAATCTGCCTTTGTTGCTTGCTACCAAGTTTCCTTTGCATCTTCAACTTCTTGGGCCATTTTTTTAGTTTTCTGCACATATTAGTGTTACAGAAATCTGTCTAGGCTTACAGATTTATGTGTTTATGAAGTAGAATTGTAGAAATACTATTTTGTATCCCTGAGGAAGAGAGAAGCTATTCTTATTAATTAGCTTAAATTCTTATTAGTTAAAAAGTTATTTGTGATCTATAACTTTTAATGTTTGAGTTTGAGTGAAAAGTTAAAGTAGATGACCTGAATCTTTTGCAGCTTGGTTATCCTATAATTGTATGGTAATGAGTATAGTGTTAATGTAAATATGACATGGTATTTTTATTAAAGATGAGATACTAGTTCCTCTTTTAATTGGTGTTTGTTTACCTAGAGAGCTTGTCTTTCATTGAGCTTAAGAATAAATGTTGTATAGCTGCTAATGTTCTAACTCCTTATGAAACTATGTTTGGAGATTGGTTGCTTTCTTTTGTTGAAAGCACTGTCAGTTATTGTGCATTGTATCCTTACTAGGAGTATCTCAATGGCTTTTATTCTTACAAGGCATGTAGTTACATCTTGCCCAGGAAAATGTATCTAAATGTGTGAATGTATCAAGTATCTAGTGAAGTTAATGAAGTATAACTTCATAGGAGTTCTTGGTGCATATAAGCTCATTCAGACACCTGTGATTATTTGCAGAAAATGTTAGTAATGCTGCTAAGGACCAACTTGAAAAATCATGTAAACAGTATTAATGTTTACATTACCTAGAATTTTCTAATATAATAGGAAACATTTTTCCATTTACTAATTCAAGTGTTATAATAAACATTTGGGATCTCATAGATAAATTCCGAATTTCATCTCACTTTGGATAAACTTTGACTCCTTGCAGAGCTATGTTATATCACAAGAGGGCAGTGTTAGAATATATAATGAACAGTACAGGTGCTGTTTAGCACTGAAATAGCTGGTTTGAAAATCAGATCAAACTATTTACTGAATGCCTTAAAGAATTCGACTAGTTGAGATTTCTCTATTACTGTTATTTCTGTTCCACTGAGGCAATAAAATATGCTAGCTGCTGATGATCATGGCAGTAATTTCATTTGTCATTGAAATAGGATGATACTATATTATTTACTATATATGATATTATAATAGATTTGACAATCACCCACCCAGTATATCCTGAGCTGTGGTTGGTCTGCTTTCAGTACAAACTATTTTTGAATTTTCTTGCTGTTGAATAGTCAAGAGACTGAAGAGGAAGATGTGGGTTTTTGATTTTCAAGGTAGTAGCATGCTACCAGGTGTAGAGGTAAGTGTAATGAACTGCTTGGTCTTACCTCATTTTACTTGTAACAAATAACCTGATAGATACTAAATCTTTATGAAACTTTTGTATATACTAAGTACCCTTCAAAATAAACAGAATTGGCAGCCTGTTTCTATTTAGAGATACTGCCCTCAGTTGTGAACAGATTCTGAATGTAGTTCTTACTTGGCACTGTTATCTACCAAAATATATAGCAGTATAAGTTCCTTTTAGAGATATTTCTAGTTCAGTGTTGTCTTAAATGCTGTCAGATGCCTCATCTTTGCTTAGGTTTTGAAGTCTACTTTGAAAATGAACAGGTTATGAGGGATGACTGTGAGTAATGTCTCAGAATAAAGCTGGGAACAAATGCATGACAAAAGGATCAGTATGACATCTCTGCCAGATTCCTCAGTGTTGTTTCACTGGATTAGATTCAGAGACTTTTACCCTAAATGATAAAGATTTATATGCTTGTCTGATTTGAGAGGAAATTTCTTCTGGGAGCAAATGAGAAGAACAAAGATCAAAAGCATTTTAATGTTTGTTTTTGCTGTAGTCTGCCAGCAGATTCAGTGCATGCTGATGGCCATGGGTAATTTGTCTGTGTTTGGTAGAGATTTTTTTTAAATGACGAGATTTTAGATTTTAGAAATGGACCAAACTGCTAAACACAGGGTGCTGACTCCACAAACAATTAGCTTTCTTTAGCAAAGCTTTGAAGGAGGAGCTATGAGTGCTTGGGTAGTACGGCACTGGCAGCTGTAGGAAAATGCAGAGGGCTGAGGATCAAAAGCAAAACAAGTTAGTGGCATTGCTGGACAAAATGGCCATGAAGAAAGAGATACAAGTGTCTGTGTAAGAAAGGGAAGAATTTCCTGCATGTCTGAAGCTGAGAATAAAGGAGGTATGTGATAAGATTAAGTGGAAATGAGGGAAGGGATTTCAAGATGACAGTCCTTGTAGTGCTGTGTTGTGAATGTAAATGTACGATGCCATTATGAATTTTGGGGATAACCTACAAGAAGCTGAGATGTAGGTTTTTACTGCAGTCCATAGTGAATCTTAAATATGCTGGAGCAGACTTAATTGTTTAAGCATGATAACTGCTCTACCTTCTGTAATACAGGGATTGGATGGGCAGACAGACTTAAGTGAGAAGCCAGGTGTTTTAGTCTGCACTGAGCTCTACAGCATTGTAGTTATCTTGATTTAACTTAGCTTATGTAAAGAAAATAGAAAAAAAAATTGAATCTGTCTGCCAGACACCCTAGGAAAAAGACTGAGATGTTGCAGATACATTTGTAGGATTAGATGGGAATGTATGGAAATAATGTTATTACAGTACAGTTAATCTGATCTGCAAATACTTAAGTTAGGAGCTAGAGGAGAACTTGCTCCCTGTCTTTCTAGGAGTGTAATGATTCCTTTAAACAAAACACTTTGTTGTTGATTAAGAGGATGGCCTAGGGTGTGTTGTCAAACTGTAGTTCTACTGTGGAAGGATATTGCTGTGTTACCATTAAAAGTAGTGGATAATAAAGATTTCCTTTCTGAATCAGGTCTGAAGCACATCGCAGTGGAGGCTATGGAGCAGGGAGATCACTTCATAGAAAATTTACTTTCACATATATTCTTTGGCTTCTCTGTTATGAAGGGAGATTTTTTTGCTGAAGACAGGCTGAGCTGTGTTAAAGTAGTAATAAGCAAGTTTCTAAAATGCTGGCTTTGCAAATTTCCAGTTAAACATCAAGATGGTATGGAGTCCTGGAGGGACACATGTGCAAAAGTGAGATAAAAGTAGAAAGTATGGGAAAACGATGAAATTTAAAAAAAAAAAAAAAACAACACAAAAACATCACAACAAGTATAGTGGAAATGCGAAGTCACAGCTTGAATCAGTGACTGAGCACCTGGTGGGAAGGCAGGGCCAACCCAGGGGAGTTCAGGTGCATGCAATGCCCCTGAGTGACTGGGAAGGGTGGAGCCAGGATCCACCCTTTCCCAGACCTCATCTGAAGGTTGGGTAGAGGCAAGGGAATCTTGCTGGAGATTCCTGTGTACCTGTGGCCTTCCTAAGTTAGCTTCTTTATTTTTGTGCCCATAGTGGCTGCGTTAGAGTAAGTCCTAACTTCCTGCAGTCTGGGATCTTGCTGCCCTGCTGTCACTGCTGTGCTTTCCATCTCATTACAACCAGATCCATCAGTTTCCTTTTAAATGCAGAACATTAATATTAACTTAAATTTCATTTAAAAAATCCCACTACAGCAAAAACCCTCACCCTGTTTCTTCCTAACATCAGTCAGTTTTTAATTTTTCTTTGTTTCTGTCTTATACCATGACTTCGTTCAGAATGCAAAAGCTTTGTATATTGGGTTGGAAAGTAGAGAGTCATGAGTCAGGAGAAGAGTATGCAGGGATGTGTCTTATGATTGGGGAGGGAATTGTGCAGAACATTGAATTACTAATTCTTAGCTGTAGAATGCTTGGGCAAAATCTTTGGTGTTTTAGATTGGTTTGGGGGTGAGATGGGGAGATGGCTGAAATGAACTCTTTCACTATGTATCTTATCTGCTAGTGATAATGAAACTGAATGTACACTCAGCCTGTGCTTTGAATGGTACCATTTTTACAGTGTATTCAGAGAACAGAAAGCAATGGAAACAATCTCATCTTTTTAAGTTTTTAATACTGTCTTTTAAAGAACTGTTTGAATTTTAGCTGGGTACCAGCAGCTAGAACTCCCTGCTACTTCTGGGATTGAGGAGGGGAACAGCAAACTGAGTTTTGAGCTGCCAGCAATCCTCCTGAAGTCTACACTGAACAGGAGGAGATTCTTGAGTGTAACAACATGTGTAATAGGAAATGCACACCTGATTCCCTAGGAGGCTGGAGATGTATAACTTGAGGGCAGAGAGAAGACAGATCTCTGAAGCCTTCAGGAAGGCAGATGGGCTTGCTCCATAGTTGTTGAGGAACTGCATCTCTGTGGAAAGGGATGATGGGTGGGGGAGAAAAAAACCAAAAAATCTTTCACTTGAAAGAAGCCTGAACTTTTCTTTAATGAAGATGGGCAGGACTATTCTACTTCCTTCACCTAATGCTTCTCAATGTTAATTTATTTCTAAGGCTTAACAGCTGCCTAATCAGATGCTCTCTCAGAAAATGGTTCCTTAACCAGTGTCTCTCCTTTTTTCTTTCTCTGTTCTGTATGTATATTCTCTAAAGTTGTAAAGAAACAAAAAAGTGAAGGTTTTCTATGGAGCTACTTGGGGGGTGGAGGCAGGGGAAAGAGAGAAGGATGAGAAAGAAGTTTAGAGATATAAACATGACTTACAATCCACCTAATAGAAACTGATAGTTATTCTGCCTTGAACAAATATCTTTTATCTGAACTTTCTCAGTAAAGTTGAGCATAATTTTAGTGCTCCGCCTGCATTGTAGACTATTTGTAGGGGCACCCTTTTCTTATGTACTCATTGCGGATATTCTTTCTTCAGACAGTGCCTGTTCATATTTGCCTTCCTTGAAAGTGTGTTTCTGATAGCCAGTAAATTCTTCCCAGAACTTCTCTAAAACAGACTGGATTTTGTTTTCTTGATCAGGTAATTTTATATGGTAATATCTGTGCAAAAGCAAGTTGATGTGGTTCAGGGAACTGGACTATTATGGACATTTGTCTTAGTAATGCAATTATAAAGCTACAAACTTGATCTTAATAACATTTGCCTATTGCCACTTATTAGATACTTGAAAGGAAAACAATGCAATTCTTAAACACAGAAAATGATGCTGAAATATGCTTATGTATCTCTTCTGAATTATCATCCGAGATGAAGGAATAGATGGAATGACAACATTTTCTCCTCTTTTTGTAGCCATTATGTGAATCTTGCACTTTAGAATTAATCTACATTTTTAATGATGTATCAAGTAAAATTAGCATGTTTTTGTTTATGCATTTGTCTAAACTCATGTATTGTTTCCTTAGAAAACCACGGCTTACATCTGTTTAGGTTTTTAATACTGCTTCTATTTTTGTTTTTAAACTACTGAGAAGGCAGTCAGAGTCCAGCTTAGAAAGAGATGTGTGCTCATCTACACTGTGGTGCTCAGGAACAAAGCCAGTTGTAAGCATAGAATAGGGTGTGTAACTAAAGACCTTTATTCAGTAAGGTATTTAATTTCTAGTAGTCTAATGCTTTTGTCTGCAGGACCTCTTGATTTATACTGGAACAGTCACATAGGAGTTCCTGGCCAATAGATTAGACGTAGATATTTTTCCGTCACGTGAATGGTGTGTACTCAAATCTTTTGAAGTGGCCTTTATTGTGTGCTTAGGATCATCCCAATTACCATCCCAATTACTCTAGATTTACTCCAGGATGTTTTCAAGCTTAATAGTTTTCTTGAAATACCTGAATTATGTGAAATTGATTTTGTTTTTAATCAACAGGCAAATCATTGTGAATGGAAGAGTGTATTGTAATAAAAACTATTACTAAGAAAATGTAAGTCAAATTTTCTTTTTGATGAAGGTAAACTATATAGGGCAGGAATTTTTGTTCCAAGATTGCCTTACTGATACTAGTTACCTTCTGATCACTCTGATATTTCTAAAGGATTCTGTCATCACAGCAGTCTTTACAGAATATTTAGAGATAGACAAACAGAGATCATAACAGCCTTCACCTTTGGAAGAAAGTTGCTTGCAGCCAGGTATTTCTCATCCAACTGGTGGTCATAGAAAACAAGTTCTTGCTTCCACACTGAAACTTTGTGTGCTACCAGCAGCATATTGTGAGCTTTTTTAGTTTGTTTGGTACTTCTAATTTTTTGAAAGAAAACTGCTAAGAAATGTTAAGGGGTGCTGTTAGAAAATGCGATGTTAATTTTCCAGGATTTAAGAGTCTGTAATGTGTCCTTTTCTTTTTAATTCAAAGGATGCTGTAACAATATGCACTCTGGGAATAGGAACTGCTTTTGGAGAGTCCATTCTGGATAACACTCCTCGCCATGCTACCATCGTTACCAGAGAATATAGCGAGCTCCTTCGAATTGAGCAGAAGGACTTCAAAGCACTTTGGGAGGTAAGTTCAGATTTATTTGCAGGTTATGCAGAACAGGGGTTTAATGTTTTAAGTGTTTATGATGAAATACAAGCACACTTGTAGCCTAAGCATAGGAATAATGCTCTAAAGTTAGTTTGGACAAAAAGGAAAGTATTTTATTTTGACTGCGTGACTACACGCTACTGTATTCCTTTCTTATTAGCTTCAAAATTAATTTAATTTCTTCTAATGAAGTAACTTAGGTGGAGTTTCCACTGGAATTTGTATACATGCTGCAGGTGTTGCTGTCTTACACTCAAACTTGCTGTTATTGCCTGCATTTGCAAAGAGTGTACCCATACTATGCACTGGTTTTAATTATTCTGCTTTACTCTGGTCTTGTTAGCAGTTAGGAGTTTAAAATAGGCAGATGGATAGAATCACTTAAGTAATCAATTACGTCTGAATTCCCTTAAAAACTTTTCCTTCTGGAGAACATACAGCTGAAGTTCTTTATTCTTTACTCTGTGTACATTGGTATTCATGCTGAGAAAACTCAATTAACACATTGCTGTGCAAGATTTCAATATGTTTGTGTTTTTGTAAGCAAAACTGGAAAAATATTCTGGGGATTTCAGGGTATGCTGTTGGCTTGGCCTGTGCTGTACTGCACTTGTATTGCCTGTTTTAAATGGCAACTGCACAAGTTTTAGGTGTTCCACAGAACTGTCAGATGGTAAAATAGTGTCCAGAAGGTGCAGCTCTAGTGGCACTAATTCTATTTAAGAAATAGATACTGACCGTGGCACTTCCTCTGCGGAAACTGAGTTACAGTTCTGTGCCCTGGCTTTATGGGTTTAAATATGCTATTTTATTTATTCATCAGTTTTAACATATGTTATAGAAATTTTTCATGCAGGTGCTTTACAAAGTCCTGGTGTAGGGTACTAAATCCAATCAGATTTCTTACGGGGGGAAAAAAAGGTTTTTTCTTTAAATTCACTTTTAGGTGATAAAAGCAAAGTTCTTTCTGTTAAGAACTTTAAGAGAACATTGTTTTCTTGCAAAGCGTTTAGAAGTGGTTAGTGTCCTATCAGAAATATTGGGGGAGTAGCGGGTAAGTTCCTGTGTTTAAAATCTTGAATTTAAAAATATGCTGAAAGCTGTTTTAAAACAAAAATTCCTACATCATTTGCTTTTTGATCACTAATATAATGTTTCTAATTTTACTGATTTGATGAGTTTTTGATGCTCTTGAAAAGGCCACATGTTGAAAGTGTGGGGAGCTTTAGCAAAAATTTTTCAAATGTCAAATTTCATGAAATTGTGTGTAACAGATACTGCAGGTGTCAGTCAGACCACAGTAAGGCTTCATGTGCTTTTTTTTTTTTGCAATGAAATGTTCCATGTTTGGTTCCATGTTTGGTGTGGTTTATTTCAGGGAGACTGGAACTTTGCTTTTAGTGAGATTGCGAAATCACGCACACAAAATATCTCTACTGGTTAGTCTGAGGCAAAAGTGTAATTCACTTTTTTTGTTTTCAAGGTAATATTACCTTGGCAACTACTAATCCCAAGTTTCCCTAAATTGCAGTTCAAGTATAATGAACAGTGTATTCAAAACAGAGAATTATTTGAGAAAATTCCTCTGAAAATATATTAACAATGCAAGTAGCAGCAATAGTATGTTCTTATTTCTTTGTAGTATCTCTAAAGCAAATACTTTTTTTCTAGGGAAGCTTTTATGTTATGTACTGTTGTGTTGTTCAATGTGACTTATCCTGAAATTCATATATCTTCGATTTGTTAAAGCCCATATGGGGAAATGATTAGTGATACCATTCTGATAACTTAAATATATTTTAATGAAAATCCTTACACAGTGAAGAATGGCCTGCAGACACTTATTATCAGTGGTACAATAGAAAAAATGAGACAAGGCAATGTCAGTATCATCAGTATAGATAAAGCAGAAACTGAACTCTTGTACATACACATTTCAGCTCTCATGATGAGAATTTAATTCCAGAAAAAAAGTAGTTTATCCAAAACCAAACCAAAATAATGTAGTACTGCAGTTTAAGAACAACCTAAATTGTTCTTCCATCGTTACTTGCTTATGAATGTAGGATTTCTATGATTAATAATAAAAAGTGCAAAAATTGTGATTAAGGGTGGTGGTTATTCGTTTTTTTGTTCTATGATACTTACTTTTAGTTAAGAGAGAATGAAAATTATTTGCTGACTACAGACTTCTGGCAAATGATAACTGCTTGTGAGTTATGAGGCTGCAATTAAAATATATTTGAAGGTGAATATAAGCTTGGAAAATGAACAAATGTATACTGACATTCAGTTATTGTGGAGCTGACCAGAAATAAGACGAGGAGCTATGAGCTACTTTCCTTCATAGTAAAAATATCTTAATGATGAAACCTATTGAATCCCACTTGTGAGAAATGGGTTTTTGCTATTGCAAATCTAGGCAGCTCCTTTGAAGATAAACTTACATTCATACTGCTGATGAGGCTTTTGGTATAAGTTCCAAAGCTATATTGTAAGAGGGAGAGATCTATTTTCATTTTTATACATTTAAAAATTTTCAATATCTCTACAACATTGTTTTATGAATTTTCAAACTTTTCTGCTTTTTGCTTAAGTAGAAAAGCATCCTTTTCTGTATTAGCTGTACTGCTTTAAGAAACTGTACTTGTGTTCATGTGTTTAATAGACCAGATGTGGCTTATTAACATATTTAATTTACAAAATGCAGCAGGATGTAGTGATTTCTTACTTTGAATGCAATTACAATTGGGTTTTATCTGAAAGATTGAGAGATTTCTAGGTGACTTTTCTTTGTTTTCCTTTTGTCAATTTGACAAACTTAAATACTCTTTGTGGAAAAGATAGGATATTCTTTATCAGAAACATGATTAGCTGCCTTCTGTGATACACAGAGCCACCTTCTCAGCTCTTTGGAGGTTGTAGAAAAATCTTTATCTTTAACATTCAGGGAATGCCAGTCTAAACAAATAATACTGTCCCATTAACAGTAGTTAGCACTTAAAATGGCATAGTCTTGCCTCTTGTGGCTACATCCATTTAAGTAGCATCCTGTTCAGGAACATCTGCTGAGCTTCTGAGCTTACTCATCCTTGGAGACTTATTTTTCTATCCACAGCTGCTAGAACAGATTGGAGATGATGAAATCTGTGGTTAGGTTTTCATGCAGCCAAACGCTGTTCTGAGGAAAGGAGTGCTAGGAGACTGTGGGAATCACGGGTGTCAGATCTTGGTGTGCCACCTGCCTGTGGTGTTCATTTCTGAGGATCTGTAGCAACTGCTATAAGCACTGTATACTTCAGTGGTCCTCCATGAAAGTGTAAAGATCTTATACTCTGTGGTGATAAGAATGTGCTTTCCCTCTTTAGCATTGCTGAGTGCAGTATTAACTACTTTGCCCCAAATCACAAGGGTGGTTACATCCAAAAACAAACAAATGCAGAAGATTGTACCCAAGCAACTCTAGTCAGGCACACCCTGATGGGTCCGTGGCTTGCTCTACCCTCTGGTAGCTTTAATATTTCAAACAGAGTGGGAGCAAAATGATTGCATTTGAACAGTGTTATTTTTGCAGAAGTTCTCTGTAGTTCATCCTCAAGCTTTCCACACAAGCTTTTGTCCTTCCACACAATTGCAAAGTGATTCAAGTCCAGACAGGAAGGGAGTGAATCTGCTGAGAGGTAGCTTATTTTTAGAGGTCTTTCCTACCACAGTGAATTACTCAGGCTTCCTTGAATAACATACAAATAACCAATTTCCTTTGGTGTGGAATAAGATTCAGTTAGAAGTTACTGAATGTGCTTTGAGAAACACTTGATCTTGAGTAAATGAAGAGCGACTACTACCTTGGTATGCCTTAACTTTGGAGAGAGGGAGTCTTGGTCCCTGGAAGGTCAGAATGAATAATTTTTTTTCTTTGTAACCATCAACCCTTATGCATCTCATTATCTGGTTAACAGTAGTGTCATTTGCTTCCTCCTTTTGTCTGTCTGATCATCTGGTAGCCCTGAACAGGCTTCAGTGGTCTGAAACGAGAGCTTTGGAAGAAACAGCTTTCTTAACTTTACATTCTGAACATTAGAAGTGTTTGTGTTTAATGGACTCTTTTAAAACAGGTTGCCTTGCCTGTCAAAAACAAATTTTTAAAATAGCTTGAATGGAATGCTGTTTAGGAAGTAGCTGGTCACTTGATACATGTGATTTAAATGCAGCATACAGTGATACTTCTGAGTAAGTTCTGTTTATGTTCAACAGAATTGAGGGTGTAGCTCTCAGTGCATTTCCATAGAGTATCAGTTTGTCTTTTGAAATTGTATCTAAATAATACAGTAGGAATGATAAAGGCGCTGTAAAAATACATTAATGAAAATAAACAGACAACTTTTTCATTTTTTAAAATCCATTTGTGCCATAAGTGCATTATTTATCAATGAATGTTACCGAGTCACAGTGAAAGCAATACAGTAGGCAGCATTTCAGAGAAGCAGCCTTTTCTTTGCCTTAGGCTACTGAGAATGTCACATTGTTACAGGAGGGAGTTCTTGCTTCTCTCTGTTTACTTGGGCATTTTTAAAGAGTACCAGGAATCTCATGAAAGTATCAGTACTTCCTGATGCACCTATCACCACTTCAGTGTTCCAGATGAGAAATTATTTCCATCTCATAAATTGAGAGAATTGTTAGGATGTGAGGAATTAGGTATTGGAAAAGAGAGGTGATGAGGTGATTGGGAGTGAATCAAAGAAATAATTGAATTAATGCCCAGCCAAACAAACTGATTGATTTTACTGTACTACTCTGTCAGTATCTTGTCTAGCAATCAGTTGCAGAAGTCTTTGCAACAATTTACTGATTTTCTGTAGTTAAGTATAGCAGGGACATAAAACTGTAGTTAATAAAATGAAGGCAGTTTAGCTTTACAGAATGGATGATAGTGTTATTTAAAATAGCGAAGAGTGTGGAGACCCACAAAAGTA